AGCTCTACACTCAGAGCTTCTGACTGGTGGAGATCGCCACCCCAGCCATACCTGAAGCTATTTGAAGCCCAGCAGAAGTTATTGCACATGGAGGTACAGCTGAGCTCTAGTTTTGGAATAATGTCAGCTTTTGATGGGCAAGATTAGAGCCAAACTTCTCATTTTAACAGATTGTGCCTAGTGAGGAAAGTATGGTTCCTAAGTTAGTTGAACCTGGACAGAGGATTTTGTTGGATTGTGTTTGGCTTGCTGATTATGGGACAAAGACATGGCTTTTGTCAGTGAAGTATTAGGTCTCAGCCCTGCCACGATCTTGACCCAATAACGAGTAAAGACTAATTTGGGTTTTTCATACTGTTTCATATTGTTATATCTCTTACATATAAGTTCTTATGTAAAAGCCAATGTATAGCAAAAGATTGAAGGAAGGGTGGCTAAGCTGTTGCTGTTTATAGCTGGAAAAGGAAATGCTAGATCTATTGCTGGATCCTACTCTGTGCCACATTCTGCCTACGTTGGGAGGGGAGCATCAGGCTACCCATGGTTTAAAAAACTACTGACCAGGTGTGATTTTTTTTCTCTGAATCTCTTCAATGCATCGCATCCTAAGATATTTGAGAATGAGCCATGATATAATGACCAAGAAGATAGCGATTCATTCTCTCTGACAATTGCAACAAAAACAGGAGAGTTCATGGGTTTCTAAAACTCACCTTTATTCTAGATATGTAAGGTCCCTTTAACTGTATTTCTGTCCAAATAAGATAATTATAGGCGTTGATGGACTGCATCTGATTAATTCTGTGCGTTTAGTAAGGTTGGGAGGTCCCCTGAACTCTTATGAGCAACAAGATGACGAGACTGATTGGCAGAGTTGGGAGGGAATTAACACTCAGCTTAGCAGGAGTGAAACTCTCGATTTGGATGTCTGGAATGATGGGTCAGGGAACAGTAAGGACTTGGAATCATAGCAAAAAAACGTGACTGTTAAAGCTTTCGTTTTCAGGCCCCTCTTTTATAGTCCCACTTTTTAGTTCATGGAGCCCACCCATTATGTAACCAAGGGTCCCTATTCCCATCACAATTAATTAACAGATGAGAGGGGTAGGGACTTCTTGGATATTCTCTCGTCCTGTATATAGAATTGTAACCCCCTTAATGGGCATAGGAATTCTTGAGTACCAGAGTATTGAGCTGAGAGTAGAGAGAGAAAAAAAGAATTTAGGTCCAGGGACACGAGTTCTATTTCTGCCAAAGAAGTCAGAAGGAAAAGTTAACATACACTGAGACATTCAGTGGATGTCAAGAGCAGTTAAAGAGTTGAACTTGAACAACGCTGAGGCAAGAATCAGCACCTGTTGTGGATGCCTGATCAGGAAACATGAGGCATTGCTCTAGAAGCAGCAAGAGATTGGTAATAACCTTTCTCTCTTTTGGTTGTCTCAATTGTTAGGACTGGGCTCACCAATTGCCAGGGTTTTAGAGGTTAAAGCAGGTGGATCATGAGCCCATTCTGTTCTTGTTACGGAAGCCAGAGTAAAATGAAGAATTCAAATGCACCTCTAAACAAGTGCTTTATTAATTACCTCTCAATAAAATACACTATCAGGACTATCTTAATTCTTAGCTTGAGCAAAAGACTTGAACTAACCAAGTGACCTTAAATAAGGTACTTAACCATTTAGAACCTTCATTTCCTCAGCTGAGAACATGTTTATGTGGAAGATTTGGGCAGGAGTTTAATAAATCGTCAGATGGATGAGATGTTGACCATGCCTTTAGGTGTCATTGGTTATCTTCTTTTGACATAAAATTAAGTACTTATATTTTGTGAAGATCATGAAATTTTTAATTATGTTAATTATTATTACAACTTGAACAATAAGATGTGAGTCAGAAAAAAATTTTTAGTGAGTTATAGCACTTCAATAGGAGGCTGAAGTAGATACTTTTTAGAAAAGTGGATAGAAGTATTTGCTAAGCGAAACAGTGAAATCGATTATATTGACACCTAATAAGTAACTAATGGCTCGTTTCTCTTTGTGATATGCACATCAAATAAAATAAGCAAAATGCATTGATTCCTACTTTGAGCAGTCTTCATCAGGTAGATTCATCCTAAGTCATGGATTTGCTCCCTTTTTTGATGTGATAAAGGATAATGATTGATATTCATAGCCTCTGCTTGCATGACAGATGGTGAAGTGGAATCTCCCTTTGTAATACAGTGTACTGCAGTGATTAAAAGTGTGGACTTTGGAGGCAGAAAAACCTGGGTTCAAGTCATTTTGATGCACTTTACTGCTTGGAGATCTTAGTGTCATTAAACTTCTCTTCAATATACTCATCTATAAGGTAGGGAAAATAACCTCATAAAGATTGTCTTGAAGTGAATTAGGATCTTCCACTGCAAATGTCAGAAATTCAATTCAGACTAGCTTAAACAAAAAGAGAATTTATTGGCCATGTAGTTGGAAGGTTAATTGGAGAACCAATTTCAGTCATGGTTTCAGCTCAAACAGTGTTGTCTAAGGGCTCAGCCTTTCTCTTCTTCTTCTTGTTCTTTTTTTTTTTTTTTTTTTTTGAGACAGATCTTGCTTTGTTGCCCAGGCTAGAGTGAGTGCCATGGCGTCAGCCTAGCTCACGGCAACCTCAAACTCCTGGGCCCAACGGATCCTTCTGCCTCAGCCTCCCGAGTAGCTGGGACTACAGGCATGCGCCACCATGCCCAGCTAATTTTTTCTATATATATTTGTTGGCCAATTAATTTCTTTCTATTTGTAGTAGAGACTGGGTCTCGATCTTGCTCAGGCTGTTTTCAAACTCTTGACCTTGAGCAATCCGCCCACCTCGGCCTCCCAGAGTGCTAGGATTACAGGCCTCCCAGAGTGCTAGGATTACAGGCCTCCCAGAGTGCTACAATTACAGGCGTGAGCCACCGTGCCCAGCCCTTTCTCTTCTTAGCACTGCATTTCTTTCTGTTGGCTTTACTCTGGGGTAAGCTCTTACTAGATGGCATCTCTAGGTTTGGTCTTTGTAATTAGCAATCCTAGAGAAAAGAGCCAGCATATCTTCACACACATAGATTCACATATGCATGTATATCTCCCTCTAAGTCAATCCTAGGGTCACATTCAAATATCTGCTCTAATATTGTTGAGTTGTAGGGATTTGTTATTTGTTCTGAATATTAAACTCTTTTCAGTACATTATTTGGGAATATTTTTTGCATTCACTCTCTTGATAGTGTCTATTGGTATGCAAAAGTTTTTAATTTTGGTGAAGTCTGATTTAAGAAACCATTACCAAATCCAAGGTTATGAAGTTTTGTCCTGTTTTCCTCCAAGAATTTTATGGTTTGGCCTCTAAATTTAGGTCTTTGATCCATTTTGAATTCTTGTATATTATATAAGGTATGGATTCAATTTCATTCTTTTACATGTGGATACCTAGCTTTCCCGGCACTATTTGTTAAAGAAGACTGTTCTTTCCTCATTAAATGGTCTTGGCACCTTTGTTTTTGAAGATCAATTTACCAAATATGTGAGGCTTTATTTCTGCATTGTTCTCTATGTCCATCCTTATGCCAGTGCCACACTGTTTTGATTACTGTAGCTTTATAGTAATTTTTTCTGCCTAATTTTATTTTATTTTGTTTTGTTTATTTTTGAGATAGGGTCTCACTCTGTCACCTATGCTACATTACTGTGGTATCATGGTAGCTCACTGTAACCTCAGACTCCTGGGTTCAAGTGATCCTCCTGCCTCAGCCTCCTGAGTATTAACAGCTGGGACTACAAGCACATGCTATGACACCAGGCTAATTTTTCTATTTTTAGTAGAAATGGGATCTCACCCTTGCTCAGGCTGGTCTTGAACTCCTGAGCTCAAGCGATCCTCCCACCTCAGCCTTGCGGAGTGCTAGGATTATAGGCATGAGCCACCACACCCCGCCCTTAGTAAGGTTTTAAATCAGGAAGTGTGAGTCCTCCAACTTTGTTTTGTTTTTCTGTTTCAAGATTGTGTTGGCTATTTGGGGTCCCTTAAGATTCTGTGTGTATTTTAGGCTAAGTTTTTCTATTTCTGCAAAAAACATCACTGGAATTTTGATAGGGATTACATTGAATCGGAAGATCACTTTGAGATATTGTCATCTTGGCAATATTAAGTCTTCAATCCATGAACCTGGAAGGTCTTTCCATTTATGTAGATCTTTGGTTTCTTTTAGCAGTGTTCTAGTTTTCAGTGTATAAGTCTTGCCCTCCTTGGTTAAATTTATTTCTAAGTATTTTGTTATTTTTGATGTCATTGTAAATGGAATTGTTTTCTTTTGAATTGCTTATTATCAGTTTATATAAATACAGCTTTTTTTTGCATGTTGATTTTTGTGTCTTGCAACTTTGCTGAATTTATTAGCTTTTTGTGGATTTTAGCCCTACCTTTGATCCTCCCATGGTGATGTGGAATCAAATGAGATACATGTAAACCAGAAGCTCTATGAATGTCAAATTTGTGATTTCTGATATATGTGATGTGACATGCAAAACCAGTTGACTGGAATGTTTCAGAGCAGGGATCCCCAAATTCAATGCTTTATTAGACTGTAGGGATTTTGGGGGGGGGGTTAAAAAATCATTCTTCAATATGTAGTACATACACAGTTAAAAACATTTAAAAGGCACAAAAAAGTACATAGAGTAAAAGTGAATCTCCCTCCTGTCTGTGTCTTTTAGTTACTTAGTTTCCCTTCCCAGCAGTAAATCTAGCACTTACCAGTTTCTTGTGAGTCTTCCCAGAGATACCTATGTATTCACAAGACATGTGTGCACATGTATGTATGTCTACACACACAATATTTTACATGAACTGCCTTACCTGAAGTTGTTTGAGTTTGCCCCCTCTGGCTTGGATGCATATAGTTGAGTAGCCTAGAATGAAGGCCTATCATAATTATTTTATGTATTATGTAATAACATCTGCTTTAATCATTTTCTTTCTAGTTTTGATGAAACAAGAACGCAGAGAAGAGATTGATTTGACCTCAGTTCCATCTTTGCCTATGCCTCATCCTGCCCAAACCCAGAGGCCTGCCTCTGATCCGGGGCACCCACATGACAGTGTACTGTCAACACACAGAAGTTTGGTGTGTCCCATCCAGCAAGCATATGCATCCATGGTAACCTCATCCCATCTGCCACAGTTGCAGTGTAGGGATGAGAGTGCTGGTAAAGGACAACATATGATACCTTCTCCAGTTGTACACCAGCCTTTTCAAGTCACACCAACACCTCCTGTGGGGTCTTCCTATCAGCCTATGCAAACTAATGTTGTGTACAATGGACCAACTTGTCTTCCTATTAATGCTGCCTCTAATGAAGATTTTGATCCAATTTTGTTTCAGCAGGATGTAGCTCTTCCTAGTTTAGTAAATCTTGGCTGTCAACCTCTGTCATCCATACCATTTCATTCTTCAAATTCAGGCGCAACAGGACATCTCTTAGCACATACACCTCATTCTGTGCATGCCCCGCCTCATCTGCAGTCAATGGGATACCATTGTTCAAATACAGGACAAAGATCTCTTTCTTCTCCAGTGGCTGACCAGGTTACAGGTCAGCCTTCTTCTCAGTTACAGCCTATTACATACGGTCCTTCACATCCAGGGTCAGCTACAACAGCTTCCTCAGCAACCTCTCATCCTCTGGCTAGTTCACCACTCTCTGGGCCACCATCTCCTCAACTGCAGCCTATGCCTTACCAATCTCCTAGCTCAGGAACTGCCTCATCACCATCTCCAGACACAAGAATGCATTCTGGAGAGCACTCAACTCAAGCACAGAATACAGGCCAGAGAGGTCTTTCTGCATCTTCATCCTTAATATGTCAAAGCTTGTGTGATCCAGCTTTATTTCCACCTGATGGGGCAACTGTGAGCATTAAACCTGAACCTGAAGATCAGGAGCCTCACTTTGCAACCATTGGTCTACAGGACATCACATTAGATGATGGTAAGTTCATCTATGTGTTCTTGATGAACAGTGATGACTCAGGAACTTTCTTCTCTGAGAGTCATGAAATAGTTACCATTGGATTGCTTATAGGTTTATGGTTGGGCTTTTAGATAAATTGTTATTAGAAATACATGTTAATGTATAACCTTGAGAATAGATATGAAAATCCATACTTTAAAGTCTATTTTACTACTAATATCTGTTGTTGACCAGGGCATCTTTTCTTACAGAACATATAGTGAAATCATAGTATCTAGAGAATGGAATTAAGGGACATTAATTCAGTAAACATTGCTGAATGCTATCCATTTGCAAGACATGGAGCTAGATGTTGGGAATATTAGGAATGCATTAAGATAGAGTTCTTGTCCTTGAGGAGATTTACACAGGTAAAGAACCTGCTCCCCTGTAGCCCTGCCAGCTTGCTGAGTCAAGTAGTGGTGTTGGTACAAGATGGTACTGGTTCTGTTGCTGCTGCTGCAGCTGTTGGCACAAGGATAAAAAGAGGCTATTTATGTAAATGTAGCAAGTTGGTATATAAATTTGAGTATTTATGAAATTAATTTGAGAACTCAGGAATATTAGTCATCTCAATAATTGAAAATTCCTCCAAATAAGATTTTTATATAACAATTTTAGAGTTTAATCTTGGCTTTATCATTTATATGGTCATGAAATTGTGTCTAAATAGGAATTCAGTGAAAGCTACCTATAACTATCATCCAATATGAAAATTCTAAAGATTCTGAAACACGGATATAGAATTTTCGTTCTCTCTCTGATTCTGTATTCCTCTACTGTAGGAAAATAATTAAAGACCAACTATCTTCTATCACAGGTCTGGACAGGCTGAGTTCACTACTTAGTTGCAAAGCTGGTATTAAATCCCAAGTGCCAAACACGAGGGAGCAAGGAAGGTAAATAAGATGTGGCACCTTATCTCCTGGGGTTTTCCAGTCAGACTAGTACAGACTATACAGTGCAAGAGGTCTGAGTCACCACAACAAAGGTATAAAAGAAGCACATTAAAAGATCAATGATATATAACATTTCACAGGAAGGATTCTGCAAGGCTTCCATGAATAGGTGATATTTGAGCTGAGTCTCAGAGGATGAATAGAGTTGGGCCTCTGTATCTGTGGGTTCCACATCCATTGATTCAACCATCTGCGGATTGAAAATATTTGGGGGATAAATGAATGGTTGCATCTGTACTGAACATATGCATACATTTTTTCTTGTCATTATTCCCTAAACAATACAGTATACAACTATTTACATAGCATTTACTCTGTATTAGGTATTATAAGTAATTGAGAGATGATTTAAGGTATACAAAAGGACTTGCATAGGTTATATGCAAATACTACACCATTTTTATAAAGTACTTGAGCATCCATGTATTTTGGTATCCTCGGGAGGGTGGGGGTGGAGTCCTGGAACCAATCTCCTACAGATACTGAGGGAAATTGTCCCTTGGTAAAAATGGGAGATATGTTCCAGGACCACCCACGTATAACCAAATGTACATCCTGCAGCTGGTCCTGTAAAGTATAAGAAAAGTCAGCCCTCCATAGGATCTTTGTATAATCAGGTTTCACATCCCAAGAATACGGCATTTTCAATCTACGTTTGATTGAAAAAAACCCACGTGTAAGTGGACCCTCAAGTTCAAACCTGTGTTGTTTAAGGATCAACTGTGTATGTTTTCAGTAAATGAGGATCAGAGGGCAAGTTAGGCAATATGTGCAGAAACTGAGATGTATCTGGGAAAGCTTGATTATCTGTGCCTGGGGTAGGGTGCAAATGGTACAGAAGAAGTCATTTGTGTGTAAACAGAAGGTATATGTGTAAATTAGAGTAACACCTGAAATTTGCATAGCATTTTTCTATTCATTATCTAACCCAATTCTTAACCATTCCTCTATGAGGTACATCGTGACATTTACAGAATTGGACTTTCCAAAGGTCACACAACTAGTAAGCAGCAGAGCTAAGACTGGATTCAGATTTTTTTTTTTAGTCTAGTCTTCTTCTTATGGCATTGTAGCTGCCTCCCAAGAACAGCAGGCCCTAGTGGCTAGAACCCTGTGTTAAAGGATATCCCTCAAGGTTTTTTTTAATTCCTAGATAATATAAACACATGTTCACACTGCATCTGATATGTCATACTTGTGTTGGGAATACTTGACAGTTCTGATATCTTGCTGTGCTTTTTTTTATGCACAGCTGATATAAGTTTTGCTGTCTACTTAATGATGAAGCCAGGAGGTAGAGAGGCTACTACTTTTATGAAAATCAGATTTGAAAAAACTAAAGACTCTCCCAAATATGCTTTGACTTTTTTTTTTTCCTTAACATCAGTTTTTAAAATATTGCCTATTTCTTCTTTTGGCAGTTGTACTAACTATTCATAGTACTTTTCACACTGAAACAAAGAGTGAGACCTTGAGTGATGACCTATCACTCATTTGTGATATAACTGAAAATATGAGATTCATCGAGCAGGTCTGGAAGGGTATTTCAGCTCTTTTTCTTTAAAAAGGAAGACATTTCTACTTCTAAAAAAAGACTAAAGCTAGAACCTGTTCTTTCTTATTTACCACGGATTGAGAGATTTGGGGGTATGGGGTGGGATAGGCAACAAATTAGAATTTTTAGAAAGGTTTTTTGAATACTTGAAATCTTTTGAATATGTAGAGATATGTTGCAAAAACAGAAAATATGGAGAGATGAGGGTGGCTGTAAAAGCAATTTCATTTTTGCTCCATTCATTATGTGGGGCACAGGATTAAGAAAAGTTCCCAGATTATAGCCCCACAGAGGACAGGGACTGGCTATTGAATTCTCTCATTGCCACCCATCAGGGGAGTTGATAGAAGTTCAGTGATGCTAAACAGTAATTAAAGAAGAGGAGGAAAGGAGCTGGGTGTGATAGTATGTGCCTGTACAAGCTACTTGGGAGGCTGAGACAGGAGGATTGCTTGAGCCAAGGAGTTCAAGTCCAGTCTGGGCAATATAGCAAGACTCTATCTCTAAAAAAATTAGAAAGTTTAAAAAATTTAAAAATAGGGCTAGGGTTGGTGGCTCATACCTGTAATCCTAGCACTCTGGGAGACCGAGGTGGGAGGAGTGCTTGAGTTCAGGATTTCAAGACCAACCTGAGCAAGAGTGAGACTTCATCTCTACAAACAAATAATAAATAAATAAAGGGAGGGGGAACTAACATTAACATTACTCCTGGATACCTCAGATTATCGACTGTATGGTTTTTTTTGTTTTTTTTTTTTTGGGACAGAGTCTCACTTTGTTGCCCAGGCTAAAGTGAGTGCCGTGGCGTCAGCCTGGCTCACAGCAACCTCAATCTCCTGGGCTCAACGATCCTACTGCCTCAGCCTCCCGAGTAGCTGGGACTACAGGCATGCGCCACCATGCCCGGCTAATTTTTTGTATATATATTTTTACTTGGTCAATTAATTTCTTTCTATTTTTGGTAGAGATGGAGTCTCACTCAGGCTGGTTTCGAACTCCTGACCTTGAGCAATTCGCCCACCTCGGCCTCCCAAAGTGCTAGGATTACAGGCGTGAGCCACCGCACCCAGCCGACTGTATGATTTTTACAAATTGAATTTTTGATGATTAACTTGAGCTCCAAAATGAATTTCTGATATTTGCCAATTGATTCATTGTTTATGGTATTTGGATTTGCCTTTGAAGGTAAAATTTTTAGAGGCTTAGAAAATCCTGAAGTTCTGCAAAGTCTTAGTGTGAATTCATAAAATAAAATTTCAAAAACTCACATATCTCATAGTTCCTGAATTCCATAACACTTGAATCTGTCCTTTCTGGTTAACTTTAATAGTAAGTCATAGAGCTGAGCGTGGTCGCATATGCCTGTGGTTCTAGCTACTCAGGAGACTGGGCCCAGGGTTTCAAGGCCAGCCTCAACAATGTATGAGATCACATCTCTCTCTCTTTTTTTTAAAGTCATATTACATACCACAAAGGATTAGAAGCAATTAAAATGAACTTTGCAGTTAGGCTGAGCGCAGGTTTTATATTAACTTTTCTATATTAAGTCCAAAGTAATTTTTACTCTACAACCAGAGAACATAAGTAATTTTTAAAAAATGAGTGCTATACTAGTTAAATATACTTCTCATCTAATCCTGATAACTTTTGTTAATCCTATTTCTGTTTTATGTTTATTTATCCCCTTTTAACCAAATTAAAAATTAAAACACAAAAAATTATTTTTATTTTTGAGATTTTTAAGTAAGATGGAGTCTTGTAGGAAACATTCAAGTCTTAGTTGACTGTTATATTTATAAATGTGGACATTGCTAGGCACAGTGGTGCATACCTGTAGTCCCAGCTATACAGGAGGCTGAGGCAGGAAGATGTGACTTTAAGCCACCCAGTTTGGGCAATGTATCAAGACCCTCCCTATTGCATGAAAAAAAAAAAAAGAAGAAGAAATGTGGACATTAACATCTTAATTGTATTGTAAATTTAGTGATATGTGATAGAGAAAATATTAGTGTACCTCAGCTCAGAAATGCAGGAGTTATTACAGACTGGATATATTCTAATATAGTTCCTTAATTTTATGGATAAAGAGTCTGAGTTTTACACAGAGCCTAAGGTATTCATCTAGGGTAAATTAGTTAATGGCAGAATAAAGGCTAAAACCCAAGTTCCCTGACTCTAGAAGTTTTTCCAATATCTGCAATCATGTTTCTAATCAGTCTGGGTTGAAGCTTTACAGTGGGTATAGAACAGACAGAATACATGAAAGAAAATGCCATTTTTCCATAGAGCCTTGGTTTGTGAGGAGGGCTAGAACAATCTTAAGATTATAGATTCTCAGTATTAGATGAAGTTTCAAAGGCTCTCTACTCCATCCTCTTTCATGTTGGAGTTCACACTCTCATATTCTTAGTGATATTGTAGAAGAGTGTGTCCCTTCCACTCTAGCTTCTTTGGAACATCTCAGAGTCTTTTGAGTTCTAGCTGCCCTTCTTGTTTTATGTGGACTCTGATGTCTCTGGAGTCATGTAGAACAGATTTAATCTTCCTTCTGTAATAGACCTTCACATGTGTGAAACCTTGATCTCTTTCCCAGTCTTAAAAACTCTCCAGCAACTTTATCCTTCACTTACCAACACGGAAGTTCTCCTCTGCTTGAACTTTGATGTTTTTAGATTTCTTTTCATAGTGCAGTATGCAAAAGGGAACACATTCTAGCCAGCTCAGTGTAGGTTAGGACTGTCACCTTCCCTGTTCAGAAGACTTTATTAGTATATCAGTATATCTGGAGTGGTCAGGGCATTTTCTTAGCTCCATTGTACTCTCAGTTTAGTGAGTCATAATTGTGCAAAGTGACATCTTTGCTCCACTCCCTGCCATGGGTTTTTGCATATTTTTTTGGAGGGGAACCAAAGACTAAACTTTATAATTACCCTTGCTTTGTTACATCGACATGTTGTTGGCCTGGCATATCAACTGTCTAAGCTCAGAAGAGTCCCCAAAGCATTCCTCTGTCTCAGAGTAGTACAGCGTTCTCTCTACGGGGATTTTCCTTGGGGTAATAACAGCAGTAGAACACTGACCTTTAAGCAGTGTTCTCTTTCAAGTAGTTCCCTTGGAAGGTTGTAATATATACTTATTCAACCAAGGCATAGTTCAAGACTATTTTGCTTTTATGTTCTATAGCTATCAAATTATCAATGAGTTTTTACTCATATATTACAGTTTGTATGCCTGGGACTGCAATTTTTCCTAAACATTTCTGCACCTTATGGTGTTTATGCCCCAGTTTTTAGACCAAATGATTCAACATTATATTAGCTGATTTTATGACAAATGTAGAAATTAGCACAGCTGTGTTTTAAACATTTTAATTGGGATTATATTCAGTGTGGTAGTGATTCTGTTTAAAAAGAGGGGATGGAGATTATAGTATTGTGAAACTAGTCTGTCTTAGACGTTTAAATACAGGTCCATTTAATTTGTAATTGAGCTAACCGAATCCTGTTACAATGTTCCATTAGAGTCCCCCAGTTCCCACTTGTCTTCCTTTGTTCACAAACTAACAGAGCCACAGCTGTAGCTCTTCAGCACAGAACAGGATGCATGTTAAATATAGCCTGACCTGCTGCTGCAGTGAAAACTGACACTGCCACTTCTAAGCTCTGTGCAGTGACATGCTGATCCTGAATGTAGGGCAATTGCTAATTCAACAGTAAACAGGGACTCTAGACATGACCTCAGCGTCTTCAGTTCTGTATGTAAATGACAAGCAGAAAAGCCTGCTTTAAAGTATGCCTTTTTTAAATCAAGGGAATGATAAACACAACATTCAAGTGGTTACCTGGATGAGGTAGGCAGGAGGCTGGTATACAGGAGAAACAGAGAGGTAAATATTATTGTCAAGTGTTCTGTTGCACCTGTGGATAGTGGTTTCACTAGTGTTTATTATATTTGAATAAAAGAAAGCCATGAGAGTGTGTCATGAATGAGGTATTATAATTAATCCACTTATGGGCATTGGGGGGGGGAGGGAGGTAGATAATACTGAGCTTTCTCTTTTATACTGGGACACTGGGTAACTCATGAATCCTCTTTTGGGAAGCATGCGTATACCTCAAACATATTTAGGATAAATAATTCCAAAGGCTGAAAAGTTCCGTAAAGTGCCCATGTAGGCTTAGGATTGAGGCTTATGCAGGATGGACCATGATGGAGATTCAGGATCATAAACATACAATAAGAAAAATTAATTTTCAGACCCAGTGAAGAAAGAGCAAGCATTTGAGATCTTTTATTTTTTATATATCAAGTATGTTTATCTTCACAGATATAAATTAGTTATATCCAGGCTGGGCGCGGTGGCTCACGCCTGTAATCCTACCCTGATCTCTGCTAAAAATAGAAAAATTAGCCAGGCGCAGTGGTTCATGCCTATAGTCCCCATTACTTGGGGGAGGCTGAAGCAGGAGGATCACTTAAGCCTGAGAGTTTGAGATTCCCGTGAGCTATGATGATGCCACTGCACACTAGTAGGATCAACAAAGCAAGATTCTGTCTCAAAAAAACAATTGTATATATTTTTTGAGTGTTTTTGAACAAAAATGTTTTCTTTGAATCAATTTGACTTTAACATTTATACAAGCTGAGGAAAATCCAAGAGAGGTTAATACTAAATAACCAGCATATCAAAAGTCTTCAGGCCGGGCACAGTGGCTCATGCCTATAATCCTAGCACTCTGGGAGGCCGAGGCAGGAGGATTGCTTAATGTCAGGAGTTTTGAGACCAGCCTGAGCAAGAGCGAGATCCCATCTCTACTAAAAATAGAAAAAAATTAGCTGGGTATGGTGGCACATGCCTATAATGCCAGCTACTCAGGAGGCTGAGGCAGGAGAATTGCTTGAGCCCAAAGTTTGAGATTGCTGTGAGCTAGGCTAACGCCATGCCACTGTAGCCCATCTCAAAAAAAAAAAAGTCTTCAAAATATATATTTAAGGGGCAGATACAGTGGCTGACACTTCTCATCCCAGCACTTTGGGAGGCCAAAGTGGGGAGGATTGCGTGAGGCCAGAAGTTCAAGACCAGCCTGGGCAACATAGTGAGATTCCCTAGCTTTACAAAAAAGTTTTTAGAAATTTGCTGGATGTGGTGGCACATTCCTGTAGTCCCAGCTACTCCAGAGGCTGAGGCAGGAGGATTACTTGAGCCCAGGAGTTCGATGTTGCAGTGAACTATGGTCATGTCACTGCATTCCAGCCTGGGTAACACAGCAGGACCCTTTTTCTTAAAAAGTATATTTAAAAATAATTAATGAGTTGTGGTAACTGTTTCTTGATAATAAAACATTTTATTGAGCACTGTGCTAGACACTTTGCTAATAGCTCATTAATTTTTCCTAGCAATCTATGAAATGTGAATTATTAGTCATACCTTTATAGATGTGGCTTGGAGAGCTTAAGCACTTCCAGTGTTTTATGGCCACAAATACTGGGGTAGACATTTAAATCCAGGTCTATATGAAATTTAGATGTCTCACATGTGATTAATGGCTTCTAAAATAGCACTCTTCCTCCTTCTCTCTCTCTCTCTCTATATATATATATATAATATATATATACGTATATATATATATATATAGTTTTTTTTTTTTTTTTTTTAGACCAGGAGTTCTCACTAAAGGAAGAACCAGGGTTTCACTCTGTTGCCTGGGGTAGATAGAGTACAGTGGCATCATCATATCTCATTGCAAGCTCAAACTCCTGGTCTCCATTGATCTTCTTGCCTCCCTAGCCTGCCAAGTAGCTGGGACTATAGGCACATGCCACCACGCATGGCAAATTTTTCTGTTTTTTGTAGAGACAGAGTCTCACTATGTTGCTCAGGCACAGGGTCTCACTACAGTGCTCAAGTGATCTTCCCACTTTGACCTCCCAAAGTGGTAGGATTACAGGTGTGAGCTACCACACTGAGCCTAAAATAGCTATAATTGATTGCTTTATATAATTTTCTCTGTAAACACAATAGTATAGTAATTTTCTTTTTTTTCTTTTTTTTTTTTTTAGAGGGAAAAAAACACAGGAAAATAGTATAGTAATTTTCTAATGTCTGCCATGTGTAAGGTTACAAAACCAGTGTCTGTTTTTCTGAGTTCTTTTGAAGATGGATTATTCACAGGGATACTATATTGGAACTCCTGGGCTCAAGTGATTCTCCTACCTCAGCCTCCCAAGTAGCTGGGACTGTAAGCATGCACCACTGTGCTAAGCTTTGAAATGAGAGATAAATTACTTAATTTTAGACTCAGTAGTTAAACTAAAGCTTTTGTGGTTTGGTGGCTTGGTGGTAATTCTTTGGCTTGGCCTTCCAAGGTTACTTCTTGCCAGGGATCTTAGCTTTTTTTTTTTTTTTTTTGGAGACAGGGTCCTGCAATGTGGCACCAACTAGAGTGCAGTGGCATCGTTATAGCTCACTGCAACCTTAAACTCCTTGGCTCCTGTGCTCTTCCTGCCTCAGCCTCCCAAGTAGCTGGGACTACAGGTGCACACCACCATGCCTGGGTAATTTTTCTATTTTTTGTAGACAGGGTTTGGCTCTTTGTCAGACTTGTCTCAAACTGCTGGCTTCAAGCCATCTTCTGGCCCTGGTCTTCCAAAGTGCTAGGATTACAGGTGTGAGCCATTGTGCCCGGCTGGATCTTGACTTTTGATAGACTTAGATAAATATACCCAAACAGCTCTTCTCTGTTTAAAAAGATAGATATCTGGCTCTTTTTTGGAGGGGTGCAGGGGGAGACATATCTAAAGCCTAGGCAAGAGGAAAAGTATGAAACAAATTAAGTCCTTGATAATCATATTATGTATTTAATAGCATCTGTGGATTTTATGTAGAATGGAAATTTTAATATAATCATTATTTTTGAATAAGTAATACATTCATATGGTTCAAAATGTCTAAGGTACATAGTGAAAAATCTCTCTTCTAGGTACTCAATTTTCCTCTGTATGGGCAGTTGGAGTTACCAGTATCTTGGCTTTCACTCTAGAGCTATTCTGTGTATTTATAAACAGTTGCATATATGTTTCCCCTTATTTTTACTAGCAGATTATATATACCATTCTGTACTTTGTTTCTTCCTTGTAATATTGAATCTTGGAGATTATTCTTTACTATAATATAAAAGAACTTCCTTAGAAAATCTTTTTTATTTATTTATTTTTTTTTTTTGAGACAGAGTCTTACTTTGTTGCTCAGGCTAGAGTGAGTGCCGTGGCGTCAGCCTAGCTCACAGCAACCTCAATCTCCTGGGCTCAAGTGATCCTACTGCCTTAGCCTCCCGAGTAGCTGGGACTACAGGCATGTGCCACCATGCCTGGCTAATTTTTTTCTATATTTTTAGTAGAGATAGGGGTTTCGCTCAGGCTGGTTTCGAACTCCTGACCTTGAGCAATCCGCCCTCCTCGGCCTCCCAGAGTACTAGGATTACAGGCATGAGCCACCGAGCCCGGCCTAGAAAATCTTTATTTAAAGGAATATTCTGGCCGGGCGCAGTGGCTCACGCCTATAATCCTAGCTCTCTGGAAGGCCGAGGAGGGCGGATTGCTTGAGGTCAGGAGTCTGAAACCAGCCTGAGCAAGAGCGAGACCCCGTCTCTACTATAAATAGAAAGAAATTAATTGGCCAACTATTATATATAGAAAAAATTAGCTGGTACTCGGGAGGCTGAGGCAGCAGGATTGCTTGAGCCCAGGAGTTTGAGGTTGCTGTGAGCTAGGCTGACGCCACAGCACTCACTCTAGCTTGGGCAACAAAGCGAGACTCTGTCTCAAAAAATAAATGAATGAATGAATGAATGAATGAATATTCCATAAAATAGTCTATAAAATGATCTATTGTATAGATATACCATTACCTGTTAACAGGTACAGTGAATAGCTTTTTACATTTGTCTTTTCACACCTATTTACAGAATGTCTTTACATTCC